ACCTCCCTCATCCGCTTGAGGACCATAGGGGCCACAAGGGGGTACGCAAAGTTTCGGGTAGGGCCGGTTAAGAAGGGTCAAGGGTCAACGACGATTAGGATGTGGGGCCTCTCGTGTACTCTCTCTTCCGCTTCTTCCCTCTCTCTCTCTCTCTCTCTCGCTCTTTCCCATCCCTTCTTTTCCCAAGGCCTTTGACTCTTAAGCTCCCCCTTTACCCCTTCCCCTCCATGGCACGTGACTAACCTCTACCCTCTCCTGTTACATTGTCAGGGAACAAACGGCAAAGAACTCGATCCTCACTTGGTGGAAAGCGAGGGCAAGGGGACGGGTGTCGGTCCCTTGTGCGACCAAGAAGGGAAGGTACCACATTGTTGTGAGCATCTGAGAAAGCGAAAGGAGTGCTGTTTTTTGTGCTTAGGTCAGTTTGACTCAACCATCCTCCCCGACTGCATGACTAAGGTGAAGGCATGGCTTGCTTGATTGAGGGGAAAGATAACCAAAGGATCATCAAAGACAAAGAAAACTTAGAATTGTGGGAGAGGCGATGTGTTGACCCCAATGGGGATTCTACTTGGCCTTTGCTTTGTGTGGTCTTGCGCAGGTGAGTAGCCTAGGGTGGTCTGAGTGGGGCTGTGCCCGCCGGGATGCGCGCGCGAATAGGGAAAGCGACGAGGGAAGGACTTAGACCTTGCTTAACTAAGAATGCACGAGAGGTTTGCTGGTCGGATGCTTGGATGAGTGGAAGATGCCTGGAGGTGGCCTGTGTGATGATTGAATGCAATGGTGCCCTTGAATGCAATGCAAGCCCGGAAGGACTAAGGGAAGTCTTGGATAGGTGAATGCAATGCTAGTAGCTCAAGAAATATAGCGGCTAGGGGTCCGGGTGATGCCACCCCACCCCGAGGATGTCGTAGGGATTGTCTTGAGCCACTAGACTTAGTGAAAAGGTGTGTGGCCCAGCGGATGACGCTTGGCCTACGCATGATAAGAAGAAAAATCCTCAATAAACTCCCTGGACTGCCAGTGTATTGGAAGGAGCAATTGCCTGGTCAGACTTAAGTGAATCGAGAAAATGCTACGAGTGTTCAAAGAGCTACCATCTATACGTGAGAGCGGAACTACATCCTCCAATGTTAAGCCCTCTCGCAAGGTGGTCCATCCCCATCCATCTCATAGCACTAGGTGGGGTGCCCCTGGGACGAACGACCCGCGCCCAGAGCGTGAGCGTGGGCGGGTCGAGCCAAATGGGACCCGCAGCGGGGTCGACTTAGGCTCGAAAGTCCTCCAGGGTACGGCCCTACAAAAATGGTGGAGATGCCGGGTAGTGGGTTAAACTGACCCATACAGTCTCGAGGGGGGGGCGCCCGACGCATGACCGCGAACATAATTTTAAGATAAGGAACGAGGTCTTAAGTTTGCTCTGTTCCCTTGAGAGAATCAGATTTGAGGGTGGCTGGGCGCATGGCAAGGCCAGGCCTGGAGGAATAACATGCATGCTTGCACACTTGATCAGCCATCTCCCTTGGAGGTGACTCTAGTCCTTCTCTCGGGCTGATGTTTGTGAGATCGGGGAAGCCTTGGGCAAACCGCAGGTCGACCCTTATTCTTCGTGTGAAAGAAGAGCTCTGGTTACCTGGCAGGCGGTTGGGATTCCGGGCTAGTCCGGGTTCCAATAAAAATCCCGCGGCGGAGTGATCCGACTGACCTGGGTGCCTCTCTCCTCTTCTTCGGAGCCCAGCGGGCTTCGTGCACTACACCTAAATGCTTGAAGAAACCTCATATGAACATAACGGGTAATCGAGAACGAACGATCCTTCCCTATGAATGGACACACAAGGAAAGATAAGGGAATGAAGGGAGTTGCTAGACTCCAAGAAAAACTAGCTCACCTTTGAAGATGCTCACGAGAAGGAACCGGACACTGTGTATGGAAGGTAAGAGTGAGTGACACACACGGTCCTGAGAGAAAATTGAGAGCTATGGGTAGGAAACGATGGGCGCACCAAGGGATAGGCACTTGTACTATATGTGTCTCACTTGGGACTTGCGTTTTGCATGATGGGGATATTGAGCGTCCTGCCTTTCGGAAGGAAAGGAGGGGTCTGCACCGGCCTGTGTGGGTTGCGAAACGTCGCTCCCTTTTGTGGGTTGCCGTGGGTTCGTGTGTGGAGGTCAGGCCACCGAGCTGTCGGACGGGAGTTTGTCACGTCGGTTGATTAGTAGCATTCCCGTTCGAGCGGTGATGAACTTTGCTCAATGATCTGCTGGACGGGGTGTGAAATCTCCTCAAGCGGGGCTTAGTCTGTTGGCCAGCGGAGAGAGTACCACTACATACGGGCAGAGACGGAGCCTCGGGGACGATTAGTAGCTTTTCGTAGCTTGGTTTGGGAAAGGCTGTTCCTTATCGGACCGATGGAAGTGAATGCCCAGACGACTGACTTTTGTCCCTGTATATAGGCACACGGGGTAACCCTCGGTGTCGGTATGGATGAGCAAAAGCGGCAATACGGGATGGGGTATTCTGGGCAAGAAGGTGAGGGCGACCCCCCACTGGAGTCTGGGTTCCGCGCTCGCGACGGTTGAGTTGTGTTTGAGGTACGGGATAAAACTCTGCCGATAGTAACAGTGGAGAGACCACTTTGGGAAAAAGGCCGGTGAGGAGATGACCGACCTGTGTGTGACGTTTGCCTGATTTTTTTCTTTTGTGTCTTCCTCTGTAAAGTTTGCTTGAAATTGTTAGGAAGGGAACTGAGCCTCTAAGTCTGTTCTCGCCCCCCCGCCTAAGTCCGCACGAGTGAGAGAATATGTGGGTAAACATGGATAGGAGTCGGAAAGAAATGGAACCAAGAAAAATGGAATGCCGGTTGATGGTGACCGATTGGGGGTATGATGAGGCAGCGACATCTGGGAAACGGGTAGGGAAAGTTAGGGAGACCCGGATGAGGGGTCCGAAACAATCCTAATCTAGAAAGAAAGACAGTCTGACCAAGAGGGGCCGTGTGGTGCTCTCTTGTGAAAACAAGACTAGAACTGGAAAAACGGAATGGCGCGGTGGTTTTCATCTCCTATCTATTCTAGTGGTATGTAAATGCCAATAGACGTAAAGGAAGGGGTCTCAGTCGTCCTCCTGGAAGAAGGAACGTGGACAGACCTGGAGCCAGCCTACCAAACTGTGATGCTGGACGAGAAGGACGCGTTCCTCTGGATAGAGACAATCTGGACAAAGGTTAGCCTAACGAGACTGTCGCCGAACCTGATGGACTTAGAATTCCGGGGGACGGTGGAAGCCCGAGGGTGGGTCTACCTATCCCAAGAGATGGAAAATGCAATGGTAATAAAATTAGTGTTGGGAACGGTGTCAGATGTATTGTTTAGACAAGCGGACGGGAAGTGATATGGGCGGTCTGTCAGCGGGCAGAAATGGAAATGGACAAAATGGAGGTGCGAGTAGAACTCGGGGACGGGAGGAACATGAGACGCCTTCTTAGGACAATGAGGTGCGTGCTACCCCCGTTTCTGGTGGACGAGGTTTTTGGGACTAGGGATAGTCTGGAACAGATATGTCAGTCAATGACACGCCTGAGGCTGTACGTGTGCGCTCGACAGGACTTCTTTAGACTGTTGGTGGAAGCGGGACCATTCGAAGGGAACTGAGCGGAGGAGCTAGCTGAGGTATTAAACCTCCTCAGCGCTGATGAAGTCTCTGTCCCTAGCCAAGTGCATTGGCAGATAATCTATCGGAATGTGGCGGAGGGAGAAACCTTCTTAGAAGAACCGAGGGAGTTGTTCTCGGACGAGGAGGAGGATGTCAGCGATGATGAGGATGGGGATGAGATAGAAGACTGGGACTTCTAAAATGGGGGTTGGGGGCTCACCCGGGGAATGGGTTGTCTGCTATGTGCAGGAAGGGAATCAATGGCTCGAGGATTCCAACTGAGGGATTGCACGTTCGAGGGATGGGAACCAAGGCGGATTAAGGGGGGGGTAGAGATGCCCTTGCCTGCGGAATATGAATGGAGGGGAGCGACGTGTGACTGGGTCGGACTTGAGGTTGTACCGAAACTGTCATACCTATGGATAAAACGTATCTAGAACCCCATTAGGGAAGAGGATGGATGGGAAGATATCGCAGAAGGGAAAGTGGAGTCGGTAGGGACGGTCGTCCTGTCAGAGCAAGGGTAGGATCTGTTCTGTAACACGCTTGCGGCGGGACAAAACTTGATGTGGCTTCTGGAGGGAGCAAAAACGAGGACTCGGAAGGCGGGTGAGAGGTTTGCCAATAAGGGATGGGATGAGGTCCACAGCAAGGTCGTGATGGGGGGATGGAAAAAGTTTAGACCACCCTGCTCGCTAAAGAGGATCTGGGTCCCCGAGTTCATAGTGGACTGGTTTGGGGGTTTTGACCACGTTGGGGAAGTGGCCGACACTATGAGAAGGGTGCACACTGACTACACGTGGTTGTCAGAGGAGTTTTACAAAACATCGCTGAAGTACGGACCTTTTCATGGCGATAGAGCCTGGGAAGTCCTCATCATCTTGAATCTGGACAGGTACGATCAACTAGAAGTAGCCCCGGAAGTTAGGGATGCCATAATCCGTCGGGAGGTAGCGACGACGCTGTGCTACGTGGATGATGTGTTCAAACTGTTTTAGGTACTATGGTTTGATTAAGAGCAGGAACAGTTGTGGGGCTAGACAAGCATGGGGAAATTGCTGAGATAAGGGAATGGGATGTCTGACCATTGTAGGGTTCATTGCGAATTGCGAAGAAAGGAGACCAAGGGTAGGAGCGCAATGACACGAAGAAGGACGTTTCTTGAAGATCGCCCCATAGGCATTGAGCCACCTAGGGAAGTAGAGGGTGGAGTAGAAGTTAGTCTGCCGGCCGCAAACGAGGGTTGGCACCCGATGGCGGATTGGGTCGGGGTTGAGCTTATGGAAAATAGGGTTTACCTAGTAACGAAGGTCGAATGGCGCACGGGTGAGAATGGGGAATGGAACCCGGACCCACAAGGGCATGTGCGTGCGGAAGGGAGATTGTATGTGTCCGAGGAAGGGTGACGGGAGTTCGGAGTCCGTTTGGCATCAGGGGAAGACCCATTGAGAATGTTTGGAGGGGCATGGCAGTTAGTGTGGCGGGCAAGGTTCGAATTCGCGGACCCGGAACTTGATGACGTGACCGCCAACCTTAGAGTAGCCATGGTCGGAAGCTTCGAACTGCCCAGTGAAAACGTTCGGATGAGATTGCCGCCATTCTTGCTGGAAAGGTTAGGCGGGGTGGAGCTTGTCAGGAGGGCTGTGGCCGACCTTGCCAGCGTGGCGTTTGAGGATGCAATGGTTCACCAAGAGTATTACCGGGCCTTTCTAGAAATGGGGTCATTCAACGGCGAGCAGAGGTATGAGGTGCTGCGGATCCTGCAAGCTGTGCTTACCACCAGGCCAAGGGCTCCGGTCGTAGGCAGTGAGGTTCTGTGGGGCGTCGTCCGACGAAAAGTAAGGCGGGGAGTGATGTACATAGACGACCTATATCGACTGTATGAGGCAACGGAGGTAGGAACAGACTGGTAAGAGAGAGAAAAGAAGTATCCAAACTGGTAAGAGAGAGAAAAGAAGTATCGAAACTAAGGACCAGGGAGTTGCCCGGGTGAGGTCGAAGAATGGATGGAATAAGCAAAATTCGCTTGCTGTTTAAACTGTGTAGGGGACCGCTAATCAACAATGGCAATGAGACGCGCACGGATGTCGCGACGACCCACGCACCCTCAGCCACCCACGGGAAGTGGAGGCGGATGGGAGGTATCGCTCCCGGCAAGCTACATGGTCCGAGGAATTGACACTGAATGGAGAGCCGTGACCTTGGGAAGGGACCAGACGTTCATGATGGTAGAATGTTTGTGGGATGATACGAGGATAAACAGGGGACCAGGGGACGATCTGTATACTGACCTCAGGGTGACTAGAACCGTCTACCTACCAGAACTTGGATGACACATGTTAGGAACGAAACTGGCACTAGGGCATGGTTTGTTACCAATCTTCCAGAGGGCTATTAGGATACTGAACCGAGTAGGCCAGGAAGTGCGAGGGAGAAGGAGTGTGGGATTGAGAACCCGGGTGGAGGTAGGAGGTTGGCGAGAATTTAAGGCCCCGATGACAGTACAGAGGTGTCAAGTGCCTCGCTTCATGGTAGACCTGGTGTTCGGCAGCCTCGCAAGGGCGAGGGATCTGGTGGATTCGACCCTGGTTTGGATTCACCACTTCCGGCCGCAGACAACGGGTATGTTCTATGATGTGTCGGTTAGGCACGGGCTGTTTTGGGGAAATCAGGCCTGGGAATTACTTAACTTATCGAAATCTTGATATTCGGATTGCCTCGCATGACGTTTGAGGAATATGAACCAATAATTCTTAGGGAAATAGAAATGGGAGAAAACTATCTTGCGGGGGTGGCCGATCTGTTCGAAGAACCGGATGAGCGCGATAGACCCGAGGGACCAGCGTGAGGAAAAAGTACCAGGGAAAAGTAAAGGATGGAAAACCAGAATGAGAGGCTAGCCGTCGGCAAAGGAGTGGTGGTCGGAGTTCCGCCCTACCTAAGGTCGTGGCAGGAGGGAACTGGGAAGACCAACCGTGCGGAGGGATGCAGGGGCATCCGGGTGTCGGGGAGTCAAAAGGGTTACCCTCAAGGGGAGAGCCGCTAGCCCAGGACACCGGCCTAAGGAACCGAGGCAGGGCAGGGACAAAATGCCAAGCCTCGGCAGCGAGCCTACCCGCAGGGGAAAGGCCGAGCGGTACCCTGTAGGAGAGAAGCCAGGAGGATTGTCCCGACTAATATAAGACGGGAAAACATGGAAATAAATAAGAATAAGGGGACCTTAGGGTCCGGGAACTAGGGAAGTTATGAACAACCGGCCGTTTCGCAAAAAACAAAAATTCCATGTGCAGGGTAGGTAAAGGGATGGCGTCGGAAGAGGAGGCTGAGGAACTGCGAAGCAAAGGAAGTCAGGGCACGGGTAGGGGTACGGAACGAAACGAGGCATCAGTAAAGGATCGAGAATCAGCGAAACCAGAGGGAATCAGGGATGATGGGAAGGACCTTTCGACAGGCGAAAGTTCGGGGAAAGTCGGGGGTAGCAAAAGAGGACCTCATAAAAATAGGGAAGGGGGGGACAATGGAAGATCGAGTCCTCGAAACTTAGAAGGGACCATGCCCAAGAAAACGAAGGTCTCGGACGCCCGCCGTAAGCTGGCAGAGATAGAAAAGCGAACCGCAGAATATAAAGCGAGGCTTATGGAAGAAATGATGGCTGGGAATGAAAAGGACTCCCTGGGTGAAGGGTCGCGAGAGGAACGCAGGGTCAGCCAGGGCAAAATCAGGCACGGAGAGAAGGATAACAATCATAAGGGAACGCGCGACAAGAAAGGGAAAGAAAAGGGGGACGCTCCGGCTGTAGAGGCAGAAAAGGCTACAACCCCGCCTGCCATGGACAGCGGGGCTAGCCGCCTGCCCGCCACACCGAAAGTAGCAAAGGGTTGCGACGGACTTTGGAGTCTCAGAGAAAGGGTGCTAGGATGGTTCGATCCGGAGGGTACGCCAAAGGCTGGGGAAAAGTGGGGGGATAGCAAGGAAGGAGAAGGGACCAGTCCAGCTGGGGAAGAACGTAGCTCTGAGGGACACCTTAAGAAAATAGTAGCTACCCTCACCCGGACTCTGAATAAGAATCAGGGGTATCTAGCCGATGCCAAGAAGAAACTCACTTTTGATGGGGCGAACATTACGGAGTTCCTGATAGACTATGAGAACCTGGCAGCCTTGTTAAAATGGAGTGAGGAAGAGAAGATGGACCACCTGGGGCAGCATGTATCACTGAGTCTGGGTAGAGACATTATGGCCATCGTCGCCACTAGTAAATCTTGGGAGGAAACCGAGAACGAGATGAGGAAATACCTAAAGGTGGAGAAGATGGCAACGGAAGCCGGGTTGGCGGCAGTCCAAAGGAAGATTTATGTGACTTACAATGACTTCCTAAGGGCCTTTACTCTAGTCGCACTACGAATTCCTGGGGTAACAGACCGGATAATGAGTAAATATTTCCTCAGCCAGTTCTCAGAATTCGACAAACATAAGATTTTGTCATCCTACCAGAAGACTAGCAAGTTCGAATACACTAGGGATGTGGACTTTAGCACGGTAACAGACCTCGCTGAGAAGACAGTGGTGACCGATACCCTAGCCCTCCTTAAGGAAGGGGAGGTTATAGACTTGACTGGGAAGACAGGGGATAAGGTCAAGAAAGGGATAGAGAGCCTGCATGAATGAGTGCACGGAGTCGACAACAAGATGGAAAGAATGAAAAATGCGCTATTAGTAATGTAGGCGCAGGTGTCCCTACCCGCCCTCCCGCCCCAAGAGGCCGTAGTTTCGGCAGCGGTAGCGAATCGGGGGTATGGCAGAAGGGATCCGTCCAATGAGCAATGCAGGTACTGCACAATGGTCGGACATTTCGTGCGGACATGCGCAAGGCTCAACCATGATATCATGAGATAGAGATGCAGCAGGTCCCTTAAGGGTGGGATTCTCGGACCCCAGAGAGAGCTCGTAAATTGGAATTCGCCAGGAGGGATGCGGCGTGCCGTCATCGTCCTAAATAACTTGGATATAGCCGCCGTAGAAGCAGAGCCGGTAACCGATATTGTCTGGGACCAACCGAGGGGACGTGGGCCACAGGCCAATTTCATCCTAGAAGGCAATGGGCAGGATAGGGTAAACATCACCACCCGACGGGCCGGTGCGGAAAAAAAGTTTATTCAAGACACAGTAATGGAAGAAGTCGCTAAGACTAGCGCAGATCAGAAACAAACCGAGGGCGAGGAGCCAGAAAAGGTTTACGGAAAGCCAAGGGAAAAAGAACCGATAGACAAAGTTGCGACGGCTAAGAAGCAGTTCCGGTACCAAATCCCGATCCTGACTTCGCCTGAAATCGATGGCACCCTGAGTAAGCTGCTGGCTACCATGGTTTCGGTGTCCTTCCAGACCATGCTGCAAGCCAGCCTGAGACTGCTTAAAGGACTCAGGCAACTGCTAATGCGCAAGCGCGTAGAAGTAGAGGAGGTTCCGGAACCACAGGAGCAGGAAACAGAAGAGCCCGAGGGCCCGCAAGGGGTCTCCAACCTCCAACGAATTTCCGGAGATCTGGAGGACCTGGAAAAGGCCTTTGCAGACATCCGCCTAAGCCTACCGAACCGAGAAGGGGGTGAAGTTATGAGGGCACCACCCGGGACGAAGCTTAGCTTCCATGCATTGCCCGTAGGGAAGCTGAAAATCCGAATCGGGATCCACCACACAGACGCATTAGTGGACGGTGGTGCGGAAATTACCCTCATACGACGAGATTTTGCAACAATTTTCGGCTGCACCGTAAACAAGGAAGTGACGGGGAGTATCCGAGGAGCTGGCGGAGAGATTCCCTTTGCAGGATACGTTACGAAATGCGCAGTTAGGGCGGGGATCAGGGAGTCGATCTGGTCCTTTCAGCGGATGATCGTCATGGAAGAGATGGACCATGACAGTATTCTCGGAAGACCATGGTGCGCCAACGTCGAAATGATAGGTATGCACCTGCACGATGGCACATACATGGTGGTTATAGAGAACCCCGTGATCGGCCGCGGGGAACTCCTCCGACTCCTTGGGACCAGAGGGGATCCGCCAAAAGGCATATTGGCATCTTGGTCACCGACGTTCCAGGAGAGTGCGCGAAAAGGGGCATTCGCGCGAATGGAAGGTATGAGGGAAAGGGTAAAAATCATGATTGAGGAAGCCTTTAGCAAGAAGAAGTGGATCAAGATGGGCCTCCCTATGAAAAAGAGGAGGCAAGAGGACGAGGCCCTGGAAGTTATGGTGGCAGAAAAAGAGTCGGAAGTCGAACTTGGGGCTAGCCTGCCCAAGCCAAAGGAAACCCGGAAAGAATCGCCGGAGGTGGTGCTTGAAATCCCAGACTTGTTACAACTCGTTAAGGCCATCAAGTACCACAAGGTGGGGGTGGACCCCGCAACGCTTGCTAAATTCGAGGACGGGGTCCGAAAGGGCTACTGTCAGAATGGGAAGTTAGTCAGTATCCAGCCCCGCATCTCGGAGGTAGCAAGGCTGATCCCGACCGTTCATTTTTTAGGAAAACGATCCCTGAAGGGAGTGTGCGAAAATACAAACCCGTAGGGGAGAAAGCCAAGCCGGTCTCGATCCTAGTCGAAACATCAAAGGAGGAGGCCATGGAAAAGGAGGAAGAAATCTTGCGGATAATAAGGGAGAGGCGAGCAGCGGAAGGGCACCGCATACCTGACGAGATAGCGGATACCTTGAAGATAGGGATAGAAGGGTTCCTAACGGCGGAAGAGACGCAACTGATAAGGAAAGCATGTCAGGAGTTCCATTTAGCTTTTGCTTTCAATGACCATTAGAAGGGTCGATTAGATGCAAAGTTGATCTCCCCCGTTAGAATCCATATAGTAGAACACAAATGCTGAAACGACCAAGGGTCTGCCTACGAGTTCGGAAAAGCGACGGAAGTCACTGAGTTGCTTAGGGCCAAGATGGATTCATTCGTGGCCGAACCCACCGCATCACCTTATGCGAACATATGGTTTGTCTTTCGAAAGCCTAACAAATCGCTAAGATGGATTCAAGATCTGTAGAAGCTAAACGCAATAACGATCCAGGACGCGGGATCGCTTCCACAGGCTGATCTACTGGCAGAATCCCATGCTGGGCGAAGCATCTACTCCTTGGTAGATATGTACTCAGGCTATGATCAGCTGCCACTCGATGCGAGGGATAGGCCGTATACCGCCATGCACACGCCGGTAGGGCAGTTGCAAATGCAAGTGACCCCTATCGGTTTCACGAACGCTGTGGCAGAGGCGCAAAGGAGGATGCTAGCTGTTGCAGGGGACATGTTCCCGGAGAAATGCGAGCCATATATAGACGAGAATCCGATAAAAGGCGCGCGAAACAAGGATGAGACGGAGGTCGAGCCGGGCGTGCGAAAGTTTGTTTGGGACCACCTTCAGGACATCAAGGACCTACTCCAGCGATTCCTCGTTTACAACATTACTGCAAGCGGACCAAAGAGCATTCTGGCTGTCCCGGAAGTGACCATACTAGGATTTCGTTGTGGGGCCTATGGGAGGAAACCGGACCCGGCAAAGACGGATAAGATCTCTCAATGCCCGACGCCTCTGCGGACCACGACGGAGGCACGAGCCTTCCTGGGGGTAGTCGGATTTTGGATGGGGAATCGAGCTCCAGAAAAGGAAAATTGTATGAAGGATTTGATCACAGTTTGGTTATGAACAGAGGGGGCAGAAAGCAAGGGACCAGGGGACCGTCGCCACTGACAGAAGGAAAGTCGATCGTCCTCCCCTCTGAAAGCGACACCAGCAGTGAGGAAGAGAGGAACCCAGGGAAAAGGCAAAGGTTGGAGGAGGAGGAGACTATTGAGGTCATAGACCTCAGCAGCGGGGAAGAAGAGGATGAGGTGACAACTCCCACCAGGGAAGAACGGGGAAGGGAGGAGAATTCAGGGAAAGAAAAGGACAAATGGAAAGAAGAGTTCGGGCCAACCTTCAGCATTGGTTTGATCAATGGGGCGCTATCTTACGATACCAATGGGCGATGAAGGGCGGGGAAAAGCTGAGTAGGGGAGAGGACTTATCCCCGACGACCTTCTCTTTGGAAGGGACGCTCCTTCAGTTACAGGGAGTAAGGAGACAAATGCAGCAGGAAATAGAGGATCGAGCAAGAAGGGAGGCTCGGCGTGGGGCAACTGGACAGTAAAGGGGACGGTAGGAATAATGGGGGGCTAGCTAGAAATTGGGGAGGGTTGGTACCTGGGCAGTCGGAAATGTCATTTTGAACTTCGCACTTGAGCTCATTTTTGAATGAATTGAGATGGGATAACTTTCTAAGCTCGAGATGACTAAGGAATGGGTAATCAGTGCTACTTTGTACGAGTGGTTGCTTCTTCAGGGAAGGGCACGGGAGTTTTTTTGTGCACTCAGGATAGAACAGTGGATGGCTAGGTTGGCTAAGGGAAAAGCAAGGGAAAGACAGAGGGGACCTGGATGAGACAAGTCTGTAATGTCGTCTTTGCATTCGAACTTTGTATCTTTTGCCTTTTTTGGAAGAACTGAAATTTAACTACCTTTGATTGGGAGAAGCTAGTAAGGGAAGGGTAAATCAGTGCTACTTTGTAAAAGTACTCGTTCCTTTGAGAAATCTGAGCTTTTTGGTAGTAAGAAGGGAACTAGGATGATCGACTCTGTTTTGGGAGACAGACAAGGATATGTGAACTGTTGAAGAATGAAAAACGTCGATGACAAAGAGTTTTCCTTTTTGAGAATTGAGTATCCGGGGTCGAATGAGTCATGGCATGAGTCTCTGCGAGAGGTTAGGGGACCTATGGGTAAAGGGGCATGAAGAATCCTCTTCCCTAGGAGCCAAATCCAACCTATCATAGACAAGTTCAAAGCAATGGAAAGGGCATGAGAGACCAGAGAAAGGAAACATCGATTGGACAAGTATTATCTGCAATGGTTGAACGACCAGGCGGGCTAGTGCTGCTTGGGGCCATGAGCCTCAAATTGAGTACTAGACGCTGAGTCGGGTGTATGAACAGACATGAGAACGACAAAGGACATAATAAAGAGGAAGAAGCATGCGTCAAAACTCAAGATGATGGTCACCCTCTAACCCTTGAGACCTGAATAGGATCCGTGTCATCAAGGCCCACCCCCTCGGGCGCTAACATTGGAAATGGATAAGGATGACCCTGACCAGGTTGTCCGACTGAAATGGATAAGGATGACCCTAACCAGGCTGTCCGATGGAAATAGATAAGAATGACCCTAATCAGGCTGTTCGACTTGGAATTGGAAAAGAACGACCCTAACCAAGTTGTTCGGAATGGCCCCTGACCTGTGTCGTCGCCTGCACGTCGTACGGGAGGTCTCCGTACGGCCCGTACGGACGGACGGACGTACGCCCGTACAATGGAAAGGGCATGAGAGACCAGAGAAAGGAAACATCGATTAAACAAGCATTATCTGCAATGGTTGAACGACCAGGCGGGCTAGTGCTGCTTGGGGCCGTGAGCCTCAAATTGAGTACTAGACGCTAAGTCCGGTGTATGAATAGACATGAGAACGACAAAGGACACAATAAAGAGGAAGAAGAATGCGTCAAAACTCAAGATGATGGCCACCCTCTAAAACTTGAGACGTGAATAGGATCCGTGTCATCAAGGCCCACCCCCTCGGGCGCTAACATTGAAAATGGATAAGGATGGCCCTGACCAGGCTGTCCGACTGAAATGGATAACGATGACCCTAACCAGGCTGTCCGATGGAAATGGATAAGAATGGCCCTAACCAGGCTGTTCGACTTGGAATTGGAAAAGAACGACCCTAACCAAGTTGTTCGGAATGGCCCCTGACCTGTGTCGTCGCCCGTACGTCGTACGAGGGGTCTCCGTACGGCTCGTACGGACGGACGGACGTACGCCCGTACGGGCGTACGGACGACGGTCGTACGAAGGTGTTCCAGGGGCAAAACAAAATAAAAAAACAAAAAAAATAATGGGGTTGTAGATCTTTTTGAGATCTACAACCCCATATTTTGTTTTGCGATTTTTAGGCCTTAAACAGGATTTTTAAAAAATCAAAAAAAAAAAAAAAAACGAGACAAAAAAGGAAAAAAAAAAAACTCTGGTAGCAAAAACAAAAAAGGGCAGTTGCCCCGTGTGTGTGTGTGTGTGTGTGTGTGTGTGTGTGTGTGTGTGTGTGTGTGTGTGTTTATGATTGGGTGGGGGTTGGGGGGGCGACCCATCCCCTACCAATCAATCAATCAATCAATCAATCAATCAAAA